TGATGGGTGGTGGTATACATATCATCAGATTATTAAGCATAACACACACACCTGCACCTTTTTAATATACACCAAAGTGGTTGGGCCACTTACCGTTATTAACCCCCTCCACCGCTCTTTCATATTCCATCCATACCTATCCTTCTTCCCACAACTTACCAAACCTCTAGTTATAATATTGTATCCATATATACTAAAGGACTCTTACAGGAACCAGGAGAGGCAGGAGGAGCTTAAAGCTATTAGTGAAATTGAAAGAAATTCAAAATATTTCTTTTCATATGCCAAAAACAAGGCAAATACCACATCTCGTATCGGGCCCTTACTCAGACAGGATGGGACTTACACAGATGACAACAAGGAAATGAGTGAAATATTGAAATCCCAGTACGACTCTGTGTTTAGTGAACCACTAATCGGTCTGAGGATCGACGACCCAAATGATTTCTTCATGAATGAGCCTCAAAACTCCATAAATGTATGCCAGATTTCCGACATTACCCTAACTCCGATAGATTTCGAAAAAGCCATTGACAACATGCCTATGCACTCAGCCCCAGGGCCCAGACTCGTGGAACTCTGTTTTCCCTTTAAGAACTGCAAGAAACCCCTCTCGCGTGCCCTAAGTACACTATGGAGGAGGAGCTGGACATGGTGAAATTCCACCCGTCACTTAAAACAACGGATATAGCCCCACTCCATAAAGGTGGCAGCAAAGCATTAGCTAAGAACTTAGACCCAATAGCTCTGACGTCCCACATAAAATCTTTGAAAGAGTGCTAAGAAGCAGGATTGCAAATCACCTGGATTCCCAAATCTGCACAATTCAGGGCAACATGGGTTCAGGGCAGGTCGCTCCTGCCTCTCACAACTTCTGGATCAACTATGACATGGCCTTGGAAAGCACTGGAAGAAAAAATCAGAATGCAGATGTAATAACACAGACTTTGCAAAGCATTTGACAAATGCGATCATGGCCGTAATAGCCCATAAAATACGTGCTAAAGGAATAATTGGGAAAGTGGGGAGATGGATCTTCAACTTCCTAACAAATCGAACACAAAAGAGTAGTGGTCAACAGAGTTAATCGGAGGCTGCCATAGTGAAGAGCTCTGTTCCACAAGGCACAGTACTCGCCCCCATCTTATTCCTTATCCTCATATCAGACATAAACAGAGATATACACCACAGCACCGTATCATCCTTTGCGGATGATACTAGGATCTGCATGAGGCTGTCATCTGCTGAGACGCGGTTAACCTCCAAGAAGATATAAACAAAGTTTTCCAGTGGGCAACGGTAACAATATGATGTTCAATGAGGACAAATTCCAACTACTCCCGTTATGGAAAACTGGAGGAGATAATAACTAGAACAGAGTATACTACTGACTCCGGCCATACAATAGAGCGGAAAAATAATGTAAGGGACCTGGAGTAGTAATGTCTGAGGATCTCACTTCAAGGATCACAACAGTGCCACGATCGCACGTGCAAAGAAAATGATAGATGGATAATGAGAACTTTCAAAACGAGAGATGCCAAGCCCATGATGATCCTTTTCAAATCACTTGTTCTCTCTAGGCTGGAATACTGCTGTACATTAACACTTCTCCATTCAAAGCAGGTGAAATCGCAGATCTAGAGAGTGTACAGAGATCCCTTACTGCACGTATAAGTTCTGTCAAGCACCTTAACTACTGGGAACGCTTGTGAAGCACTTGACTTGTACTCGTTGGAACGCAGGAGGGAGAGATATATCATAATCTACACTTGGAAAATCTTGGAAGGAATGGTCCCAAATCTGCACACAAAATCACTCACTACCCTACGTAAAGTAAAAGACTGGGCAGGCGATGCAAAATGCCCCCAATAAAAAGTAGGGGCGCCATTGGTACACTAAGAGAAAACACCATAAGTGTCCGGGGCCCAAAACTGTTCAACAGCCTCCCATCAAGCATTAGGAGAATTGCCAATAAACCCCTGGCTGCCTTCAAGAGAGAGCTGGACAGATACCTAAAGTCAGTGCCGGATCAGCCGGGCTGTGGCTCGTACGTTGGACTGCGTGCGGCCAGCAGTAACAGCCTAGTTGATCAGGCCCTGATCCATCGGGAGGCCTGGTCACGGACCGGGCCGCGGGGGCGTTGATCCCCGGAATAACCTCCAGGTAACCTCCAGGTAACTCCCTCCCCCTCCCCCCGCCGATCTCTCCACATTTGTTTGCCCCTTCTTCCCTCAGTGCTCTTAACCCCTTTCTCCATTAACACTCGCTTCATCTCCCTCTCGCTCCACTCCTCCCGCCCCTCACATAAGATATCACGACAATTATAAAGTGAACACTGAATAATATAGGAGTGTAGCTTTACAAGGACACGCGAAGAAGTTTGTTTACATTAATTTGGAATTCCGCATAAGTGCAAAGAACTCCTTTCCCGATATTCATTTTGTTATTAAGATCACGGAAAAGCAGCAGCCCAGCAGCAGCAGCAGCAGCAACAGCAGCAGAGCCAGTAGTAACACCAACAGCAGAAACAGCAGCAGGGGCGAGGAGTGAATGAAAAAAGAGTAATAGAAAAAGGGGTGGTTAGATACTGGAGAGCATAAAAAGGCAGGGTGGGGGGCCTCCCCGGGCCCCTCCCCAGGTGTTGCAGGTAGACTGAGGCTGCTTCACTCCCCAACCTACCCCCACAACACACAAGGCAGGCCAGCAAGTGCTGACACTTACACAGAGATAAAAGGGTAAATCAGCGCTCTAGAAAACAAAAACGATCAGCTGTACCTTTGAAATACCTTCGATGATTTCCCCAGGTTTTTTTTTATCTATTATTTTTAACCCCGGAACCCTGTCAGGGTCGGGCTAGTGGGCTTGCCAAATTAACCGGCTGACCACAATATATATTAAAAAGAAAAAAACTTTAATGCCACAAAATTTCATAACGCATTAGCTTAAAGAAGCATCAACTGAGATCAATTTATTTGAAACATAAAAGTTCACCGAGGTGCAGAGAGGCCTTCGAGAGATACAAGAACCTCCCCGAACCGGTTTAAAACCGAAAGTGCGAACGACAGTAAAAATGTTAAAAAAAATGATGGGGGACGTCAAAGTTCAGAGGACACCATGTGAAAGGGGGTGAGTGCCCAATCCCCCAATCTACGGAGAATTTACTTTTTGGGGCGATTTTGAGTAAAGGGATTAAACGCCCACGCTGCTAACCTGCTTGCTTGTGGGGTGGAAGGCCTGGGAGAATACGTACATCACTGTGCCTAACCCCCACCCCCAAAAACCACTGCCAAGCCACCATACCCTAAATACCAATGCCAGCCCACACCACCACAACCTTAATATACCCACCCCCCACAACCATCATAAAACCCACCCCCAAACCATTTTTAAACCACACCACCACAACCTTTGTAAACCCACCACCACAACCATTTTTTAAAACCCCACAACCATTTGTAAACCACACCACCAAACCCTTTTCAACCAACCACCACCATTTGAAATCACACCACCCAACCCCTTTTTTAAACCACACCACATCCACTGTGCCACACCAACAGAGCACAGCACACCAAACATCAGCCCACACCGTCACAAACAAGCGGTGTAGACAAAAGCTCAGAAAGACGATGAGGCTGCATTCGTTTTAAAGGACAAGATGAGAAGTTTCTTCCAGCTTGTGTTTACTCTTCTAGTTGTACTCAAATAATGTTATCCTTTAGGCTGAGCTCTAGACCTTGGGCCCCTCCCTATGCTCTTCGGCAGATAACTGATCTCCCTTTCCGAATTTGCCATAGCTACATATGAATCAAAACACGAAGTTAGCTTCCATCACATATCCATAAGTAACCACACCTGTTCGCTACCCATCACACTAAAAGAACTCTTCAGTTATGACTGACTCATTTGTAAGTATAATTTACATTTGTTGCCCTTCGTTCTGCTTCCTCCACTGTCGACGTCAATCCCAGTCTACTCTGTCTCTGAGTATCTAAAAGGTTGTGATTATGTCTCCTCTGGTTTTCCAATCCTCTAAAGATTGAGGCTGCAGGTAAGGCTTTAAGTACAGCTGCTAAACTGATATTAGACTATATAAATAGACAAGCGGAACGCCTAACATATACGCGAGGATGAATTATTATTATCCACGGAGAAACGATAAACCAGTAGGGGTTATACACAGCCTGGAGCAAATGAGGGGCAATGGGGGTTCGATGTGAGGAAGAACATGAACTAAGATTCTCTGGATCAAGAGCCCTTCACCAACATCAAAGCATCCTCCTTGAAGGGATGTGTGGATAAAAAGAATAAAACAGAGTGACTAGGTACATTCACTTGCGCGCGCGGACGCATGCACAAACCCAAGCGCGCACAGACACGAAATAACTCTTTGAAACAAGATCTATACACAGATTTAGGAATAGGCCTAACAGGTTCACGAAGTCAGAAGAGTGTAAAGCCAGTAACGGCCAGTTTAAGAGGCAGGACTAGTATCAAATTCAGCCTCTGCAAGCACAAGAGTACAACGACAGTTCATACATAACATACCTACAGCTATCTGACATACAGGGCAGAGTAAAACTCAACCATGTACAGTGTTAATTTTAATTCGTATTTTAGGAATTAAAGTATTCTTGGTGTTAAGTGTACAGGCGCAAAGTGAAATTAATAAGCCTCGTATAGTCGATACACTATTATTATTATTATATTTGGCTATGATGGAAGGTTGCTCCTCAGTGGAACATCAAGTATTATCTTGTATTTATGTGGGAGAGGGTGGACACGACGCCTTTGAATGAAAGGTAGCCATGGATGATCCAAGGACGGGGAAGGATAGATTTAATTCCTCTGTTTAAAACCTTTCAGAAGCACCCGATATACCTTGACTCGAACAAACCGATGCACTGAAACAAACACAGGTACTGGACACAGTCTGTTGGCTCGACTACACACGTCTGAGGTGTAGGTACTCACGGTAATACAGTAGAGGTACTCACAGCAACATAATGGTGACGGTGGTAGCGAGGCCAGGCGTGAGTGCCGATGGCATTGTATCGGTCAGCGTGGGGGTCAGGGTAAGACAGTTGCCTCGAACCCTCAGCTCCTGTGTAAGGCTCCACGTGACGAATCACAAAAGCCATTATCTCCCCATACCCGTTTCTCTCACTACGTCCTACGGTGTTTATACAGTAGCAGTGTAATATAAAGCGATGTTTACACTTTAATGTTGTGCATAAGGACCACAAACAGTCTTATGTTGTGAAAAAGGATGACGAAATTTCATATGATGTGTATAAAGACTACGAACCGCCGTATGTTATTTTGTAAAAGGACTAAGGACCGATTCATGTAGTGTGGTCCAACACTGTGGAGACCCGTAGTGTCCGCAAGTTCTCTGAGAGAGGATGTCGCGCACACTGACACCTTATCACCTACCAGGCACTGCAAGCTTCACATGGAACATGACTTCAGCATTCTAGCTCAAACCGATTAACAGTTTATGTCTTGTGACAAATGGTTCTGAAAACCGACAAGTTGAAGATTGAGACACTTATGCAATATATGGGAATCTTTAGGCAAATATGGGAATTTAAAAAAAAAGATTCCCTTATGTTGCAAAAGTGTTCTTCTTCAGTTTTTGCCTTATCCGTGAGATTTCTCAGGGGGTTTGCTGTGGCCCTAAAGCGTCAGTGGTGTTTAAAGACAGTCAGGCAGTGAGATGGCAAGTTGGGAGACGGGGTGTGATTTTTGCCACAAAAAAAGGAGGCATCTCTCAGTTGTGGCTTCTGTCAGGTCAGCTAAAAACCCTCAATCAGGGGCCACAAAACAGTGGGGATTCGGGAAACGTTATATGATACCGGGGATCATCGTTTCCCCTGTAAAATGCCTTACACCCAAAAATATTACAGGACTAAGAATTATAAAGAGCGCAAAAAATGCAAGTAACTAAGTAGAAGTTAGCTATTTCCCTGGGGACCTAGCATTTAACACATTCTAATTGAACTAATCCCCTGCTTCTTCAATACATAAGGGGGCCCAAAAAAGTCAGGATAGTAATCCGAATAAAGTCTCTGTTTCTGTCTCTCTAGGTGCCACATTAGCAGTTTTCTATCATCTATGCTGCCTGGCGAGTTGCTTAAGACCCTCACTAAATAAAGTAAGTGGTTCTTTTCTTTCTTGTAGTACACAAGTAGCTATCGAGGAGTCCAACTCCCGCAATACCTTCATTTATTTTTTTTCAATTTATTGTCCCATCTTTAGGGAATTAAAATCACTGCGACTAAACTACCCCACAACTTGGTCTGGGACAGATACCTAAAGTCAGTGCCGGATCAGCCGGGCTGTGGCTCGTACGTTGGACTGCGTGCGGCCAGCAGTAACAGCCTAGTTGATCAGGCCCTGATCCATCGGGAGGCCTGGTCATGGACCGGGCCGCGGGGGCGTTGATCCCCGGAATAACCTTCAGGTAACCAAGCTGTGGGGAAGATGACCCCCCCGGAACTAACAACAGGTAGCCAGAGGCCAGTGCTCCACCTTTTCGTCCTGTTCTCTCTCTCCTTGCACATCTCCCGGAATCTTCTATTAAGTTTCTCGCGCGTTTCTGTCATTCTTATTGAATACTCGGCCTTTGTCTTAAATCATCTTTTTGTATTTTAAGAAAAGTTTTTGTTACACTAACTTATGACGCTGTGTCATTCTCTTTCACTTCTTACACTAAGTCATTTCTTGCTCGTCTTTTCTCCCTGTTCATGTAAACTTCCTTGTTCTGTAGTTCTTCTATATTCTTTAATTGTCCCTGTATTAAAGACTAACTCTTTACCATTCTGGTTCAACTCTGGGCTCTCTCTCTCGTACTTGTGGTGTTTAGTGCCATATTTCTACAACTTACACTTCATCTGAACCTTTCATCAATTCTCATCGTGTTTTACCTTCCGTGTCTCTTTCCCAGTGTACCTCAAATATCTGGACAGAATTAAGGGCTACCTAGAGTAACTACACTTTCTCAGTAAATAGTTTTGATATATACTGTAAGGTATTCTGATTTCTGTCTTTCCCATACATGCTAAATTTAAGATCCCGTGCTCATCTTGGCAGGGAAATCGTCTCAGCTTATGAAACTGGCACTTCACCTACTTCAACAAGCATTCCTGGTTTCTGGCCTTATAATGTAGCCACACTTGTTTCTTAAACTGTGCACTTATCTTGCTGTGTTTGATAAGGGTTAACTCACTGTTCCGACCCAGCCTCTCAACTTCTATCAACCAACTTGACTAATTTCTGGCATCCGGTGGTCGACCAAGCTTACTATTTAAAATCCTCTTCGTCCCGTGGTTCATATTCTACCACGTGTGCACCATGTATCACATCTTCGCGCCTCACGCAGCTTGCCCCTGTCAACTCTATATAATCCCTGAGTATTTTGTAGTTAAAAGACGCGTACACCAAAATGATAAGTTTCACCTGTACAAGGCCTTATCAAGTACTTGATAAAGCTTCATGTAGCTGAAACGTCGTACTAATAAAGATCTTGTGCAGCATGTGTATTTTTACCACTTATCGTCATACTCCTTTCTCTTATTCTTCCTTTTCAGTCAACCTCTTTTCCGAGTTTGTTAGGTTGAGCATTTTTAGTCTGTCCTCGTAATCATTGAATTTGCCTCCACTACTTTCACATCTATCTCTTTCGAAAGCGCGTGGAGAAGATGAGGGGGTGAGATAGGATAAGGAACATGCACTGTAACGTGAGTTGATACACATCAATAATGAATGATCACGCTACCTTCAGCGGTCACAAGTGTAACACATCCGAGGAGGAGGAGGAGGAGGAGGAGGAGGAGGAGGAGGAGGAGGAGGAGGAGGAGGAGGAGGAGGAGGAGGAGGAGGAGGAGGACCACGACGACGACGACGACCACCACCACCACCGCCGCCACCAAAAGCAGTAGCAGCAACAAAACCAGCAGCAGCAAAAGTAGCTGCAGCAGTAAAAGCAGCAGCAGCACGATAACATCACGTCTGATCAGCCACCACACCTACATCACTACGCATGTCACGTCCCTTCCTCACATGTGTTGGTCTTGATACATTCGTCACCGCCCTCAAACATCACAGTCCATACACAGTTTTATGTATAGGTATGATAGGTCAGACGATGCCAGGAATAGTTCAAACGTTTGTCAGTAGCCTAGAAGCTGGACCAGGAGTCGAGCTTGACCCCCACAACCACTATTATTAGATGTAGCATGACATTCAACACCGTCCCTCACACAAGCCTCGAGCAGTGAACATTAAATACCCTCCATAACCTTATCAGCGTATTTAAACATCGAATTGTCTTCCTTTGATCAATATTCATGTCTTCTCGGAAAATATTTTTTTTAAAGCTCAAGGGTGATAACACGAGACAAAAGCAAAATAAAATGACCTAAAATTTATGGTAAGAAATGATGGTCGCTACTTGGATATCAAAACTGTATTTATAAATCAAATTCTTAAACTGTACAAGGAGTCGTGCAAATCACACCCCACAGATGTCCTTTCCATAGCAACGTTCAAACATTATTGTCATTATAAGTATAATAAGTGATAATGATGATAATACAGGACATACATTACATACATAATACTACATTAACAAACATGAATATGTCATCTTGTGTCATCATTATTATATACTATATTTATCGCAGTAAGTAGTTTGAACATTTGCAATAAAAAGGATAATACTACTGGTATAAAGTCTAGTAATGCTATTCCTGTCAAATTCCAATATCACCATCGGTGTCATACAAACAACACTTGGGAAATATGATGGAGGGATGGATAGCTTCAATTCCTTTTGACTAAGAACTCGTCATCATCATCAAGGCACTTCTCCTCTTTCCTGAAGTGACCAAGTACCAAAATAAACATCACGTGGTCAGTGATGATCCAACAACGCCTGAGGTTATATGTTCACCAACACTTGCACACCATATCACCCCCCACTTCTGCCCCCAACCTCCATTGTTCCTTCACTCCTCCCTCTCACCCACTTCCCCTCCCTCAATGCGTACCTAACTTGTCACGACCTGGAATCCCTCCCTCCCCTCTACATAAACCTAAACCTCTCCACTTATTTAAGACCCACTACATTAACCCTTCTACACCCTCGTCTCAAGGGGACACTTTTTATTTTATATTAGAACCTATCTTGTGGTGAAATACATCACGTAAATAAAGCCAGCTTCTGTTCCTACAATGTTATAAATCTCAAATACAAAAAGAAAAGTATGAAATAGAAACTTTAGATTGATGTACCAAGTTCCGAAATTAAAAATCACACTTAATACTACACACAATAATAATTCCAGCCCTGCTACAAGGAAGCCTTTTGAAGTTGCCTTAGCTACTGAACAGATACTGGAATCCATGACGATAACCTCGTCGCCCTCTTCCAGTTAATAATAATAATAATAATAATAATAATAATAATATTATTATTATTAATATTATTACTATTAATATTTCTACAAATACATATACAATGTTTATAGGCCTTGTGACATCAATGACTATTATATAGAAAGTCCTTTGATATGCAGAGCATTTCGGGCAAATTAGGTCAATTTTGTCCCTAGGATGCGACCCACACCAGTCGACTAACACCCAGGTACCTATTTTACTGATAGGTGAACAGGGACAGCAGGTGTCTTACAGAAACACGTCTTAATGTTTCCATGACACATTTCATTAGAATGAGCATGAAGCCCATCCTGTGATGGAATTTAAGAAACCATCCAGTATGGAGTATGACAAAAAATCATCGTGTGTGAAGTATGACAGCGAAAACAATCCTATTTGATGGGTATGACAAAAATCATCCTGAGATGGATCATGCCAGGAAAATCATCCTGCGTTATAGCATATTACGCAAAAAAAATCTGTATAATTACATATGGTAATGACAAGGGAGAAGCAGCTTGTTACCACGATGTAAAAAAAAAAAAAAACTTTCACCTATGTAAAACTCCAAACTTTTCTTCAGAAGACCCCCCCCCCCCTCACCTTCTCTCTCGTGCTTCACAAAAGATCAGCAGTCCCTCTCTTCCCTCCCCCATTATATATCAACCTCACCTGTCATGTGAATCCTAACTGATGAATTCTCATTAACCACCGCAATAGACTTGACACTATAGTCCTTCTCCCTGCCCCACCTATACACATTTCCCATTTTCCACCCTCCCAAGGTTCCTACTTGTCCCTCCTCCACCTTGTCTCATAGCCTCTTCCCACAGAACGCTGTAACTACTTTTTATACACCAGCATTTTTCTAACCTCTTTCCATATAACACAACTCCTCCTGAATCCCATTCCTACCTGCTATTCTCAAACATATTCTTCATGGCACTCTCCTTTCTCACTGCCTCTTATCAATTCAATATCCCTCCCACACAAGTCTCA